CAGCAAAAAGTATAGAGTTTTTATAGCGCGTCGACCGATATAACCACCGATTTGGGCACCTAAGACATTCCGCTGGATTACGGGACCTGGATATTATTATTATACCATACTATACCAGTATAATTCAGTCGGGTTTAATTACGATTAGCGAGAATACTTCCCGATCTTGCATTGTTAGTTGACCAGTTTATCACTTTTAATTAATAAATAATTTCGAATTTGGTAAAAATAGGCCTTTTAGGCCGTAGGCGTTTTGGGCGAGTCCGGTTAGTAATGGTCTTAGGTCAGTTGACCTACAAATATTCAAAATGGCACTTTTACCCTCATACAATTCAGGAACAAAAAATAAACTTTTTCAAAAACAAATTTCATAAAGTCTAAATATTTACGTTATTTATTGACGAATTTATTTTTAAACGTTATTTTGCAATTCCTTGCCTAACTTAACCTAACCCTAATATATTTTCATCCATAAATAACGTGTATGAATTTGTAGATCAAATGACTGAATACCGTTATAAATAAATACAATAGTATAATTAGATGCTTTAGATTGAAATGATGCTTTTTAAACTAGTTAAAATTATCAGATGGTTTTATAACTTATTCAATACTTTACAATAATTCTCTGAGTATTATATGATATAAAATTAATATTCAAAAATACAGTATTAATCAAGCTGAAAAATAAAGACTGGTGTCGAATGAATGACGACTTGCAGGATATTTGTCCATTAAACGAGTGAACTATTAACCGAGAAACAAGGTCAAAGACCACATGTCCCTCATGTTATCAATCATATGCGTTTCAAATAGAAGGGTTAATATTAAGTAGTTTAAGTAAATTAGTTTGTTGACAAAATAATTTAGCAAATGGTTGGAAACACATTTAGTGTACGGTATAAAATTATGTAGTCTTTTATAAAAAGTGTACAAAAACATAAATTTATCTGGCTCAAATTTTGCCAAATATTTTTATTTGTACGATTTATTAAAATTATAAAATTGGTATGAAATTAAGATTTGACAAATTGGCCAAGCTTAGGCATGCAATTTGCAAAACATTTAATCCCAGTAGATATAAGTCTGTACCGAACGCGCCTCCATTCGTGTTTATATGACCGACACTTTTGTCAACAATTGTAAACTTTTGCGGTTTGTCTCTAAGATTATAGACGACTAATACCGTCGCGTTATCATCGGGTCTGACAAACGCCGCTTAACTGAAATTGTCGACCGATTTGTCAGATTTCGCGCCGACTCTCACCGAATCTTTGACTAAGAATTTGGAAAAGTGTCCCAAAATATAAAAAGTCGAGTCTTTGTAGTACTCGTTGGCCGTGTGGTTGACGTGAATCGGTGCCAACGCCGACATATTGGCCCAATTGGGCTCACCATACATGTCGAGCACCAGATTCCACTCAACCCAACCTCGGGTCCAATGTTGAAAATTCTAAGTGTAATTAATGGCATCACTTTAGGGATTCTGTTCATGTTTACTGACTTACAAATGATAAATGTTTTAGTCATAGTCCTAAAATTAGAAATTGCTTACATTCATTATATCTCTAGCGTAGACCTGGGCGTGTTCCCAAACACCTAGCTCCATCAAGGTACCTTTTGTTTTTTTACTGAACTCTTGGCAGCATTCAGTCGACATTACAAACTGATCGGGGTATCGCTTGTGTAAAAGCTCCAAATCATCCCAAACCTTTCCGTTTCCATAGCAATGGTAAACTTCCTATTTTAATCAGCGTCACAAAAATAATCATGATACTATTCATGTTAAATTAATTAGCCAGCACTCAACCCATTTATATATTTAGCCGTTTCTGAGTCATTAAAGCTCGTCTCAATCCAGTTAATCATTTTGCCAACTTCCCCTGGTCCATGATCGTATATCATTAAGTGTAATTTATCAGGTCCATAGCCGGCTGCTTCGAGTGCTGGACCAAACGTCTCGTTAAACGCCAAACAGTTCCAATTGCAATGCATGTTAGTCACATGACTCTGCTCATTTTGGACGGTCAGCCCCCATAAGTCGATTCAATTGGATTTGTATGCGACCAGAAATCTAATACATCAATACAATTATAATTTATAAACAAGCAAATACCGTTATAAGTGATGTTGATTATTTTTCAAAAATGGTTTTATGATAACTTACGAAAATGCGGTATAAAGTGAGGCTTATATTTATGAATGATCATGCAGCAAAAATCAAACCTTTGCAATATTAGTACTAATAAACCTATTTACGTATATTTAGTATTTACTTATAAACCTTATTTTTACAACAGAAATTAACAGTAAAATGTTAAAATGAATAAGAAATTTAGTTTTAATTTACCTTATACGCATTTACATAAAAAATATTAATATTTAAAAAATTTTTAAAAATATTTTAGATCTCATTTATTATGACATGCCGTTATACCCCGGATATAACGACAGTCCGATCAACCTCACTTTAAACCGATATGCCGGTGGTTGCGCGGATATATGGTAATTATTGAGCAAACAATATAATTAAAAAGCATTATAACTCTTATTTTACAAAATAATTGGCCCAGGTCTCAAAGTACTGTTGTCCCGGCTGACCAATTAGAGGACCGCCATTCAACGGACTATATGGCCCCTCGTGCTTTATCCAAGTGGGTGATGACCAGGGACTGCCGAACAGGGTCAATTTATTAGCAGTCATATTGTGCGCTAATTTATGTACGAGATCCAAAGTTCAAATCCCTTTAAATACAGTTTGTCTTTTCAATGATTTCTCACACTTTCTATACTTTCAACCCATGTATCTAATATTAAATATATGTATTAAAATATGGTATATTTTATAATCAAATAATTGGTTGTAGGACAAATAAGTATTTCCAGGTTCTAGGTTTCAAGTACATAAATACGTTATGTAGCATAACACTTGAACTAAAAGTACACTGATAATTGTTTTAATAATAAATATCTATTTTTAAGTTGTCCTTGATCATGTGTATTTGAGGTATTTAAGGAGTACCAGTATAATGGTATGTGTATTAAAATATGGTGTATTTTATAATCAAATAATTGGTTCTAGGCCAAATAAGTATTTCCACATTCTAGGCAGAAGATAATGTACATGCATAACATTTTAACTAAAGTACCCAGATAAGTTAATTCCCTGTTGAAGTGGTAAACAAAATTTTTATATAAATATAAGAAATTTATGTTCAAAACAGTCATTCAATTGTGTTTCACTCAAACATAATAACAATGAGATTCATAACAACTGTTTTGTTAATCCAAACGCTGATCACTATATTAACTATAGGTATACAACAGAGTAATAACTAATTCAATTCAAAAATATTATTAAATTCTAGTGGAAAGCCGTCGGGAATGTATACCGCGAGCCGGAAAGGACACCCCTTATTGTGTTTGCAACGCAACGGTTTGTGACGATTTAGAGGCCGTAACCAAAGCTCCGAAGGGAACGGCATTACTGTTTGAGACCAACAAACGCGGGGAACGACTCAAACAATCGACGCTTAAAATACAGTCCAAACAAAATGTGTACGAAATTAATGATTTTGCAAAATTAAACTTATCATTGATTTTTATTAATAATTACAACATCAAACCCATTCAGTGATAGCGAGACAAACGACGAAACAATTATATTGACTATCGATAAGACCGTAAAATACCAGAAAATTATAGGCTTTGGGGGCGCCTTCACAGACGCCGCCGGTGTCAGCCTTAATAGTCTGCCCAAACAAATGGCCACAAATATAATCCGGGACTATTACTCTACAAATGGCATCGAGTATAATATGGGTCGTGTGCCTATTGGTGGCGCCGATTTTTCCCCACGTTTCTACACATACGACGATGATCACCAGGGTGACTTCAAGCTTAGCACGTTTAAAATACAACAAGAAGATTACGATTTAAAAGTATAATTTCCAGATTGTTCTTGATAATTCATTGTTGAATATATTTACAGATGCCATACATAAAATTAGCGCAAAATATAACTGCTAATAAATTGACCCTGTTTGGAAGTCCCTGGTCATCACCCACTTGGATGAAACACGAGGGACCATATGGCCCGTTGAATGGCGGCTCACTAATCGGTCAACCGGGACAACAATATTTTAAAACGTGGGCCAATTATTTTGTAAAGTAAGTGTTATATTGACATTAATTTTATTGTTTGGTCAATAATTATTTGCTTGTTTATAAATTATAATTGTATCTTTCTGTATAGATTTCTGGACGCATACAAATCAAACGGAATCGAATTCTGGGGGCTGACCGTCCAGAATGAACCGAGTGGTGTGGGTCCCGGGAAATGTGGCTGGAATTGTTTAGGGTTCAACGAGACGTTTGAACGAGATTTTGTGAAAATTGACCTTGGTCCAGCACTCCAAGCGGCCGGTTATGGACCTGATAAATTAAGCTTAATGATATTTGATAATGGGTCTGTTTACATTTTAAGCCCCAGAACATTATTTTAACGCTGAAAACGAATATGAATCTTAAATATTTTTATCAATCCGTTCGGGAGATATTCTGGTCATTGGTTGCCATAGAATCCCATTATAAGAACATAGCTCACTGGCCACTCACCAGAGGCGCCATTTATTATGTTAATTACACTATCTTACCATTTGAGGGCTTAAAATAAAAAACCAGACTAAATATCAAAATAGACTTAATTATAAAGGTACTAATACTATGAGAGCTCAATACAGGTTTTAACCTATGACCCTAGCATTGGTCAGTGTTAAACCTGTTTTGTTTATAAGTTTGCTCTCATAGTATTAATACCTTTATAATTAAGTCTATTCTGAAATTAAGTCAGGTTTTTGATTTTAAACACTCATTTGTATAGTTAGATTAGGTAGGTTAGGTTAGGTTAGGTTAGGTTAGGTTAGGTTAGGTTAGGTTAGGTTAGGTTAGGTTAGGTTAGGGTTTGAATTAGGTTCGTTGATGACCCGCTTATCCGCTTACCCGCTTATTATTTTTATTACATTATCTTATCATTAAATGGTTTGGAACAAATTTTGAATGGTTAGGTTAGGTTAGGTTAGGTTAGGTTAGGTTGGAAAAATACTCATAGGTTAGGGTGTGAGTTAGGTTCGTTGATGACCCGAATATCTCCCGAATGGATTGAGATTAACATATTTTAACCGCAGATTCGTTTTGAGCGTTAAAAAATACATTTAACATAACGTTTTATTCTCTGGGGCTTAAAATGCAACCAGGCCTGCTAATTTACCAGGGGGAGCTGGACACATGTTTAACTGGATTGAGACGATCCTCAAAGACTCAGAAACGGCTAAATACATACATGGTTTGAGTGCTGGATAATTAATTTTATCATGAATACTATCATAATTATTTTTGTGACACTGTTTAAAATAGGAATTGCTTTCCATTGCTATGGAAACGGAGAAGTCTGGGATGATCTGGAACTTCTGCACGAGCGATACCCCGATCAGTTTGGGATGTCGACTGAATGCTGCCAAGAGTTCAGTAAAAGAGCCACCCGTACCGTGATGGAGCTAGGTGTTTGGGACCACGCTCAGTCCTACGCTAGAGATATAATGAATGTAAGTAATTTTTAATTATAGCACTATGACAAAAACATTTATCATTTGTAAGTCAGTTAACATGAACAGAATCAATAAGTGTAACACAATATAAAAAATTATCATTTTACATTTTTATCGACTATTTATAATTCCTAAAGTGATGCCATTAATTACACTTAGAATTTGCAACATTGGTCCCGAGGTTGGGTTGAGTGGAATCTGGTGCTCGACATGTATGGTGAGCCCAATTGGGCCAATATGTCGGCGTTGGCACCGATTCACGTCAACCACACGGCCAACGAATACTACAAGGACTCGACTTTTTATATTTTGGGCCACTTTTCCAAATTCTTAGTCAAAGATTCGCTGAGAGTCGGCGCGAAATCTGACAAATCGGTCGACAATTTCAGTTACGCGGCATTTGTCAGACCCAACGATAACGCGACGGTTTTAGTCGTCTATAATCTTAGAGATAAACCGCAAGAGTTTAAAATTGTTGATAAAAGTGTCGGTCAGATAAACACCCGAATGGAGGCGCGTTCGGTTCAGACTTATATCTACTGGGATTAAACATATTGCAAGTTATTTATTAAAATGAAATTTATTTCAACTGGATATTCCACATAAAAATTACTGATATACATTAAACTTATTGGTACAATAATATATCTTGTACAGTTATGTGTAGTTATAATAAAATATAGTTGATGGATATAAATATATTTATTATTTCTCCATTAAAACTCTTATTATTGTGTGTTATCTGTGGGACAAACAATGTGCCCCAACCTTCTGGACGTATGCGACGAATCGTATATTTTGCTCATTAAATCTGAATCCTTTACAACCCATTGATTACGGCTATCATTGCAATCAAAATAGTCGTAATCTATTTCCAATGTATTTCTGGGATGGGATGCGAAGAACCCTTTGAATGCCTTTTCATCCAAAATACTCCACGTTTTTGTGGTTTTGATGCCATTTTGTCTCTCTTCATAAGCGGGTCTTTTCCTAACCATTAAATCGACGGGTCGTCCCAAACGACTGAGCGATTGGCCATCAAATGATGAACTGTTCAGATATGCATTGTCCACAAACTCCAGAAATAGTCTATGATTGTCGTTATTTAATGTGCCGTTACTTTGTGGTAGTGGACTAAATACCAAAGTATTTTCCGGTATACGAGTTATCCCGGTATAACCAATGCTTAGAGATCGCAATGAATTTAAACCATAGAAAGCCTTTTCGTGAATTTCTGTCAATTTGTTGTCCCAAATGTCAATGGATTGCAAATAATTATATCCATTAAAAGCATAGCTCGGAATATGCGTTAAATTAATATGTCTCAGGTGTAAATATCTCAAAAATGGAGTATTTTCAAGCACGGCGAATATATCAGTGTAATTGTCGGAATTATTATCCAGGTTAGGTGTGTCTATAATACACAATCTGAACAGGTTCATTCTCTCAAACGCGTTCACATCAATCGCTTGCAAAGAGTGGTCGGAATTAATGGAAATATGTTTGAATGAAATGTTACCAAAAGTGTTGGCATTAATTCGCGGGATATTTGTGTTCATCACAAATAGGCTGTCAAATGACCTTTGATTTTGTGGTAAATTATTGCTCCAATTAGCAAATATTGGTGCAAGGTCGGTGATGGAACTGCCATTACATTTCAACCATAATCTAACTTGCTTATCATAATCATTATCCATATGATTAATACATTCGCACGGCTTCAGTAGTTTATGATCCGGACATTTTACAGTCTTTTCACATAAGCCTAAAGTTATGGTCAATACAATCAAACTTAATATTCTTAAAAACATTTTTAATTAAAATTATATTAAATACTTAAACATCGACTTAACATTTATATTTTATTTTACTTTTGACGTCACATTTCTAAACTAGTTTTATTTTATACAATAATCAGTATTGTTTATTTAATCTGTTTTAACAAATTAGGGTAATTAAAAATTAATTAACAGATTGGGGTTATATAATTTTATAATTAATTTATTCAAAAAGTACAAGTGTTTAAATAAACAAAATGAACTTTTAATAATGAATGTAAATTATCATTTAAATATTCTTTAATAAAATAATAAATGTA